CAACCGGGCTCTTAATATAAAATTATTCCTCCTAGTCCTAGAGCCCATTTGGTAGCACCAAAATCGGCTGTCTTAGCTAATTCTGCTGAAATTTATGAAGTTCTGGCTGAAGTGGCTGCATTGACTGATTCTGCTGATTTAAGAAAAAATATTTTTAAAATATATTTAATTAATAAAATAAATAAAAAATTATATGTTAAAATAGTTAAAATGATCATCTACAGTAACTTCAGCCAATACAGCCAGAAAAGTAACTTCAACCTTACTTTTTCTGCTTATTACACAATTCAGCGCGCCAAAGCAAAAGTTACGTCTTTGGTGAAAAAGTTGGTTGATAAGCCTGATAAACTTTAAAAGAGTGTTGCCAAACGGTCTCCTAGTCTAATTAAAACTGGTAACAATGATTAAAATCTATGTATTTAGCTGCTGTATTAAATTTCTATTGGCTACTAAATCAGTTTTACTCTTTCTATTTCTTTAGGTTAAACGCCATTCTATACATTTTTTCCTGGAAAATCTTTTTGCGGTAACTTATTTCACTCTTTTTGCATTTGTAGTATGATTGGATCAGACATTCCAACGACCGACTACCCTGGTAAAATTCCAAGTGGAGCAGACGTCCCAAGCGACGATGCAGCTCTGAAGCATTCCGATGGCCTGTCTTAATAAATAATTTGAAGAATTGAAGAGCATCAAATTAAACAGGAGAAGTCATTTTTATTGCTCCTTATTGTTTATTTACCTACCGCTATGAATATATTATTATTATGTAAGGAGCACCTATTATTTTGTTAATCTTGGACTAGTGAATTCCGGTACCGGAAAAGAAGAAAATCAACATACATCTATAGCCTATGTGCTTTTTTTTAACACCACTATAGCCTATGTGCTTTTTTTTTACACCACTATAGCCTATGTGCTATTCATTTATGAATAGCAACTGTACTGTTATGCTTCGCGGTATTTACTACTCCGTACGCAGTATTTATTAGTTCAAAATTTCAAAATATAACCATTTTATAGGTTTTGCTTATAAAATATTAAATATATTAGTGATTAAAATCATAAAAGTGAAAGTCATATTGTTACAACTTACAACCCTTGCAACTAAACAATAACGCATCAGATAGTCAGATATACGGAGTAGCACATGTATATACTACCTATATTTGCCATTTTCGAGTAATAGTTGTGAGTTGTGACGTGTTCGGACTTCCGAACAATGGGATAGAGTTGTTATTTGAGTAAATGGTCAGTTTCGTCCTCGAAGTTGCATAAAAGGGGTCAAATAAGTCCTTATATAGGAGATTTTATCCGGTTGTCGTCATTTGGGGCGGTTCTCGGTGGAATTTTTTGATGTAATTTTTTTAGCATCTTATTCATTAAGTTTAGTTCATTCATACCAAATTTCACATAAAAATTCAATCGGGAAGACATTCAAATAAATTTTTGAAGATAATTGTGCAGTTAAAAGTGCAGTTATCTTAGCATAATTGTGTTTAAGGGCTGAAAATTTTTCTTTAGTATAAAACACTACCTATTTTTTATTCAAAAAATATACATTTTCATTAGCATACACATAACATTCATATATACTACACTCTAAATTATACAATGAGCAAATTAACATAAGTTTTATAATTGAAGTTCTCTACAAAAGAGTAAGAAAATTGCTAGTATTTGATTATAAGAAAATGGTTAAAGCTTTATTAATACTCGTACATTTGAAGATAAAGGATCTAAGAAGTACACATTCACCTGTACTTTTTAAATGACTTTTGCATTGTGCGTGAATCTTATTAGAATAAAAAACCTAAATTTTGAATTTCACCTTTTTAGTCATCATGGGTGTTTATAAATGACTTTTGCATTGTGCGTGAATCTTATTAGAATAAAAAACCTAAATTTTGAATTTCACCTTTTTTGTCATCATTGTTTATCAGTCAAGAGAAGTCTTTTTAAATTACAATTGTATGCATCATTGTTTGAAAACTCGTTAGGCAGTAGTCGGACGGTTGAGGGGTGCACAGCGCCAATGCGCCAACTAGGCGGCCGATTAGGTCGATTTTTTGACTGACTAAGCAGATTAGTCATTTACGATTAAGACCGCCTAGAGTTTAGTCACCGATTTTTAGAACAGTGCTATGTATAAAAAGTATTGATTTCCAGAATAATATTATGTTGTTAATTCATTATATTTCCGTAGTATATTTTTTTTAGTGCTAAAATACTTTAAGTTTATTATTTGTGCAATAAAATCTTTTCAAAAAAAGTTGGAGCTCAATGAATTTTTGTAATTTTAATGTCACACAAATATTTTTATCTTGAATTCACTTCACATTATCTGATAATTGTTTAACTAGTATTTACAATATTTTAATATTACTTGATATTTTACAAAATCAAATACTTTTATCTAGTAATGATAAATTAAACATCATAAATATGTGATTTCTTTCAAGAATGAGTATCCCAAGTCTTAGATCAACAAATATTTTTTTAACAATATTGATGTTCAATAACTAAGAAAAACTTAACTAAAATAGTTCATCAATATAAATTACTTTAGTTTTTTATCCTTTTACGCCTCCTATTAAGTACGTAGAATTGTATATTCCCTCCGTCCCATTTTATTTAGCCAAATACCTTTTCCAAGTCAAAGTTGTTCAACTTTGACCAATTATATATTTATACACGGTAATATTGATAATGTGAAAATTATATGAAAATATTCTTTGTTAAAAAATACTAGGGAAAACTATCAAATAAGCCCTCGCACTATGCCGAAAAAGTCGATTAGGCCCTCGTACTTTACAAACACTCAATTAAGTCCTCGAACTATTAAAAAACGTTCAATTAAGCCCTATCGGTCGGTAAGTAACCGGTTTCCCGGTTAAACGGCGACGACATCGACGATGTGCTCGAACCCCCGCAACGGCGGCAGCTGGGAAACGGGTTACATTTAACCGGGGAATCGGTTACTTACCGACTGAAAGGGCTTAATTGAACGTTTTTTAATAGTTCGAGGGCTTAATTGAGTGTTTGTAAAGTACAAGGGCCTAATCGACTTTTTCGGTATAATACAAGGGCTTATTTGATAGTTTTCCCCCAAAATACTATCATAAAAGTATAAATTTATTAAGTTTTAAATAAATATATTAGTTAAAATAATGGATCAAAGTTTATCACATTTGACTGGAAAAGTCAAATATGCCTAAATAAAAAAGGACGGAGGTAGTACGTAGTATTGTTTAACACTGTAATCAATTTTGAAAATCAAAAGTCAAGGGGAGCAAACACATTGATATCTCTTTAAAGTATAAAAAGTGGGGGAAATAACTTTAAATAATATAAACTATCACTCATGAACCAATAATAATACATACTTTAAAAATGATTTCTAATAATATCAACTATTTGAATGTAGAATAAATGTAATGTGAAGTCACATTTAGGCAGGAAATCCAATCATTTAAAACATCAACAATAAATATCAAACTACCAAATAATTAGAAATAAAGTCACTTATTTAATATTTAGATAGTAGTTTTGATGAGTTAAATGAATGAATTTTTAGTGAAAAAATTGTTTTGTATTACTTTTGGTATATGTTCTAATAGTTGATATTATTAAAAGTTAATTTCAAAGTACGTATTATACTTGGTTCATAGAATAGTTTGTACTTTATATTACTTAAAGTTATTTTCCCAAAATTTTATGAAAATATTGCATATATAATAAAATAAATAAAATTCTAAGGGGGCCGCCTCCCGAAGCCCTTCCCTAAATCCATTCCTGGATTGATGCTCAGATTATCTCAAACGTAGGACCTTGTTCCTTCTAAAAATGTTAAAATTGGGGTGGTTTAAAGGCTTTGAGGTGTCCTATTTTAAATTTCTAGTTGTTGCCTCATGCAGCCATGCTTAGATAAGTATGACTCTCCACACAGCCACACTCACTATCTCACTATCTGTAAGTTTGTAATTAAATTCAATTTACATTCTCACAATTTAAATTCAATGAAGTGTCGGCCTTTTAGGTAAGCATGTGTGTTGCTTCAATTTGTAGAAAAAAATAAAACTTTTCTCTTGTAGTGTGAACGTCTAGGGTTAAACCCTTCTATTGTTTAAAACTTGGATTAAAACAATAAGCACAATAAGGAATCAAGGATGTTCTTAATGGGAAATTGTTTTAAATAGAAGTAAAAACGTTCTAAAATTTCAAAATATGATGACTATGTTTTTATTCTTGAAATAAGAATCGTCATTACCATGATTGAAAAATATTGTCGTTAATGTTAAAAAATAGTCATTTTTATGCCTAGTACTTCAATTATTTTGACAATAACGACTCCAATATGACAGTAAATATCTCAATGTTACTACTACCTCCGTTCCATTTTATGTGTCTCATTTGGTTTTGGCACAATTTCTAATAAAGTAGTTGAAAAGGTAAAAGTTGTGATTGAGATTTGAGTAAAGCGAAATGTTGTAAACCACATATTTCTTTCTAAAAAGGGAAAGATGACGCTTATTTTGGGACAATTCAAAAAGGAAAGTAAGACAGGTAAAATGGGACAGAGGGAATACTATTTTAGGAATACAAACACAACACAATGATACTATTTTAGAATTCCCAAACATTTTTGCTCCTATTTCAGGAATTTTCCTGTTTTTAATTGGACTTAAAATTTATAGTCTGATCTAATCTAGTCTAGTCGATGTAAGTCTGATTTGGTGGTCTAATCTTATAGATGTTTACTTTACATGTGTTGAGTTTGATTTGATAGAATATGATCTAGTTGATCTAGCATGGTCTATTTATGTCTAGTTTTATATGGTCATGTCTAAGGCTGAAATTAGTCTAGAAATATACATGTATGTTTATTTCAAATCTACATGTATGTTTTCTTACATTTAGAGGCCTTTAGAAATATACCAAAATGCTAGACGATGAAAATTTTAATTAAGAGCCTAATACATTAAGATATGCATGGTGTATAATGTATATTAAAATGAGAGATATAGACACATAAATTTAAATCAAATCAATGACAACTTTCTTTCTTTCTTTTCACAATTCCAGTCTTTCAGATTTTTAAATACTTTTTATCAATGTCAAACACAAGTATATTCTAATTTGAATCATTTGTATGGATTCAAATTTCAAAGCATATTTAGGCCCAAATGGCCCAACCAAAACCCCCCATGTACGTCTACTAAAATCAGTGAGTTTCAAGAGACTTTCGGACCAAATGAGTATCCAGCTAAAACCAGCCCACCAACTCGTGACTCGTGCTATTTCTACTCTCAATATCATGGGGGCAAATCTGGAATAAGGTCTGGAAAATCATCTGCAGTTCTTGCAGTAGCAGACCGCCGATTACTGTGTAGGAGGGAAACCAGTTTACTTACCTGATACTCTGATAGGTAAACTATTCACTATGATGACCTCACCACAAATGTTGTTACCACCACTCCCACAATTAGTGACAAAATAAGAACAAAAAGCGGTATCATCATGTTGAGGGGTGATAAGTTTTTAGACTTCGGGTCACTTCTCAAACCTTTCGTCTCTTCGTGCGTTGTGATGTTCGTGTACTTTCGATTCATCATGTCCCAAAAAGGCTGCTGCTTGTTGGTGGTTGCAGATGATACGAAAGTAGGAGCTTCTGATTCAGGCTCTAAAACTTTTGATAAATCAACTGGAACTTCTATGGACATCAACTCAGCATAATGATCCTTAAGAACCTATGGTTCATTAAAAAATAGTTAGGGTTATGAAGATTATAACTTCCTTGTTTTTAATTTACTGCATTTAGTAATGCCCAAATGCCGAACACAATATTCCCTTCATCTCATGAAAAGAGCGTTGTTTCAAAAGCTTTTTTGCCAACAGCAATCGTAAATCAAACTACTTTAACAAAAAGATTAAAAACAAGGTCAATATGATGAGTTTAATTAAGTTCATGACATCTAAAAATAAGATGTTTTACCTTGGATTAACCATGACTCTTTATTGCACGAGTTACGAAGTTATAACAGAAAAGATGTGTGTGACATACCTCAACTGTTTCAGATGGCTGCAAGTAGTCACAAACATATATATTGGCTAACCAAGGAAGAAACACTCTCCGAGGAAACATTAGCTTGCAACTTTTCCTGTAATAAGTAGAAGTTGAAAAGAAAAATATCAGTCACTTAAAGCAACAGAAGTATTGCATTTAGGATAAAGCCTGGAGGTCAGACCGTTAAGAGCTCCAGCGGCATACCTTTGCAACTGTAATGGAAGAAGTAAGAATGGTTCTTCGGTCGATACATGATCCCTCGCTTCTTCTCCTACGCTACCATCAATAGCTTCTGATTCCCTCTCTGCCGCATCACACATGATATCTAATCTACTTTGCAAACTCAATATTATATCTTCCTACGCAAGATGTAACAAACAAACTCACTTCACCTCCCAGAATGCAAGATGATTGGACAAGTTTCAAAGATAGATTAGGAAAGTAATGAAATATTCTAAAGGTGCCATTCTAGAATCTTGAAATAGTAATATTAAGAAACTATTATATCATTGAAATGAAGAATGAAAAAATGAAAAACTGGTATTAAGTTCTTTTCTGATTTCGTAAAATAACACATCATGAAACATCAGTTCTCAACCAATGTGATTATTACTGTAAAACAGGGGATTAGTAAAGGGTGGTATATAATACCTTAATGTCAGTCAAAACTTGTGAAAGTTGTTCCTTTACATTCACGTAAGCAAAACAGCAAATAGCACCGGTAAACACAAGACCACCAATTATGTCCTTTTGGCTGCATCCTTCAGAGTAAAAAGAAAAAAGTAAAAATTTAGCATTTATGATGGAATATGATGGAATAAAGCAAAATGGCTCACTAAACAGTCTGCGCTTCTTTGTTATGAAGCAGCAGTCAGTACATGCAATTCTGGACGCGATTTTCACTATGGGTCATCCGGAAACAGTCTCTATGCGCTTTAGTACAGGGGTAAGACTGCGTACATCCGACCCCCTTACCCCACCGTAGGTGGGAGCCTTTGCGGCATTGGGGTAAATGAAAATGATGATGATGAATTGCTCATCTTCTCAAGTATGTTTAAACTCCCAAACATCTATAGACTGGAAGGATCACATAATCATTAAATGCAAGAATTTAGTTCGCACCGTCAAACTTATCTTGCATGAAAGGTAAGAGGAACTTAACATCATGTACACCATCTGATGCAGCGACTTGCTCATTCCCAATTGCCTAAGCACATTATGAAAGGAATATTGAGATATTCTAAGACAGAACTATCAACGAACAATAGTTGATTTACAGGAATATTGTACAAAAATTGATAAACCGCTACTTATATAATATAGCAAAGAGAAATTATTTTAATCGATAATTCCACTTAATGCACCTAAAGTCCTACACTATATGGGACACTTAATTTCTTAACCCCTATGAGTTTTTTGAAGGGTAGCTTCCAACAAACAGGTTACAGTAAACATTTTGATGAATAGATGAGAATCATAAGATAGCAATAAGCATGTAAACATGAACCAATATACTTAATTAATTGTATCGCTGTCATGTTTCTTACCAATTTTCCATCAATCAAAGCCTTTCCACATCTTAGCTCTTTGGCAAGATGTGAAATACAATGGCGAAGAACGTCAACCAATCTTATATTTTTGGATCCATCCTCACGGAATATTGGAAATCTGGAAACACATAACAAATGCTAGGCTCACATTCTATTCAGAGAGGGAGAGTTACATGATTTCAGAAATAGTAAGGAAACAAAACACATTTAAAAAAATAAGATCAGAAAACAGCTTAGGCATACAGCTGCTCAAATTTAGGATGTGCCATTTTGTTCTACATGGGTATAGTTATAATCACAAGTAAAAATTGGGAATCTTTTTAATTTTTCAATGATGAAAGGAAGTTCGAGTGGAATTTATGCAAATGCCAAGGGGGAGCAAAGCAAGTAAAAGAATCACCTAACATCCAAAGCATATCTGCATCTGAATGTCTGCAAGGACGCAAAAACTTTCCCCATTTTGAAATCACATGGTCTTAGACTGGTTGAAGTTATATTAGAGGCAAGTGAGCAATTCCGAGTCGTCCATCTGTAATGAAAGTGTCTCAGATGATGCCTAAAAGGATTTAAGTGATAAGAACTAAGAATTACCAAAAGGAAGTCTTTATTTGCAGAAAGCTACCTCATGGGACTGTAACATATGTGAACAAGCAGCCTCTCATCAAAATTAACATCTAAAACAGGTGTAGCCTTTGCAACAGCTTGTATGGTCTGTAAAAACAGATTAGATTAGCAAAAAAGTTGACCTTCATTAAGGAACACTTTGAAAGATGAACACAAAATTGTAATAAACCATAATTCAACTTTCTTCTTGTTCGAAGACATAAAATATTAAAACTAGAAAAAGAACACTTTGAAAGATGAACAAGAAGCAAGAATATTACAAAGAATAAAGGTACATTATACTGTACAACTGTATACTATACTACAAAATGGGGATATTCAGTATATTAAAACACAATTGAGAATTTTAGTGCTAAACACTCCTTCTAATGCTTTGGCTGGCCAACAGAAAATTATCTCGGAGTACAAAAACCTGACAAATTGTTAGCATTGAGTTCTTAATTGAGCTGTCACTGGCCCATATGTAGATGCCAACCACTTTCACACCACCCAATAGCATTCTTGCAACCTGAAAATGGTAATATATATCATGACTTGCAACCACCAATCAAATGTCTTCAAACTAAAGGCAGGCAACCATTTAAGAGATTATCCATGTTGATTGTGCAATATCAGTTTCACACCAGGCATCACTAGAAAAAATATGTCAACTCATCATCACCCTGATGATATTTATCATGCAAGTGGAAAACCCTGTGATGTACCAATTTCGATTTTCATCTCACTATTGCTTCTTTGTGAAGTTGCAATAAAGCATGTTATTAATAGCTGATGGCCAAGTTCTGCCATATGGTGACACCATTAACCCCGCAGACCACCGCTCTTCAGAAATTTGATATGGCAGTCTTTTATATTTCTGCCACCGCCATCCACCATGGTGCCATTTGAAAACACTAGACAGGAAGACAGACATTAACATAAAATGTGGACTATGCATTTTTCATAACATTTTAATGTTTACTGATTTTAGACAATTGATTAATACCATAAATTTCATGACACCGATCTTCACATAGACAGGATCGTGATGCATGCAAAAGAACACCTGCCAATATCATGAGCTACAAAGTTCCTCGTCATTTAAACTGCCCGCTTGAATTCCATATATACTATGTATAATTCATATTTCTTGAACACAATTAAGATTAAAAAACAATGTAAAGATGGCGTTACACTTTACACAAACACACACACACACACACATTTTTTTTCAAAGACGCTCCTTCAATACAATCAAAGAGGCTGTCAACTCAGGGGGGCAAATGTCCAAAAGGCCATGATTGTTGATGTGTGCATATATAATGTGTTAATATGTGGTATGAAACCATGATGCATTACATAAATAGGAAGAGATGAGTAACTGAGTATGGTAATAAAAAATATACAACTCTACAAAAGTCTCAAAGTGTTGTTGACAACACCATTAAAATGGCACAAAGGAATTCTTAGAAGTTGGAGGTTATCAAGACTTTTATCCTACCAACCATGTCAATAAAGTTGAACCACTTGAATATGTTCATGGATGACTTGCTTAATACTTTTATGGAAAAAAATGTTGTTGATGAAACCGGTAAGAATTTTACTGTAAGAATTTTATTACGGTAAGAATTTTCCAAATTATAGTTTTTAGATTTTTTAAGATATTTACTCATTTGCATAAAAAATGGCACTGAACAAATGTAAAGTAGGTTAAGTAGGATATTGAAAGGGATAAAGATCTATATACTCAGTGGTGGACCCAGAAAAACGACTCGGGGTTCGAGACTTAACTATATACAGAATAAAAAGGGTGGATCATTTTTAAACAATACTAGAGTTGAATGTTTCATATCTCACTTGGATAAATGACAGTTTAAAAGAGATTAATATAGTTTTAGATTTGAGATACATGTCATATATACTACTCTGTATAAACATTACTTAAGTAAGGAGTGAACGTATTTTTTAAAACTTGGGAATGTAATCAATATTGCGCATCAAAATTTTACTCATTTCAAGTTTAAAGAGTGGTAATTTTCCCAAAGTCATAACATTTTACTCGTAATGAGTTACGAGAACCATAACATATCAAATAGAATGTATTTTAGTGCTCTATATTCTCGAACGGTCGGCTGACCCCCTTGACCCCTTGGCTCCGCCCTCCATATACTAACATTTATGATTTAATAAACCATAGAATGAATTGTGTGAAACAAATAAATAAATAAATAAATTGCATAGGGATTGAAGAAAAATGAAATATTAATATATTATATTATTACTGAAATTCAGATATTGGAATAAATTGAACCTGCCGAGCGTGTTCAGCAACCCAATCCTTGTCGACGAATAAAGACGAGGAGTCTGCCTGCGTCTTCCCTTTTGATCCTTTCTTCCGGTCATCTTTCGCGCCACTTATAATTGAGCAAGCCGGCTCTCCGGAATCGCACAGGGGCGTCGGGACCAAGTCGAAGATGAAACCGCGATCTAAGCTTGAGCTCAGCTTCCCTATCACAAGCCCTATCTGAGCAGCCAACCCGGATTTGGTAAGCCGCTCTTCAGCTAATTTCAGCTGCACCTCCTCTCCCACTACTGCTTTCACCATCGTCGTGCTATCCCAAAAAAAAAACTGACTAGTTTCGGTCAATAGCAGTAAAAGTAGCCTCGTTTGGACAAAAGGCTATATTGAGCTGCAGCTCGATCGTTCCGGCGGTCCAATTACAGGGCATCGAGGAGATAAGTGTCCTACCTTATTTGTGAAAAAGGAATGGGGGAGGATAGAGATCAGAAGAGAAACTGAAAACTGGAAAAGGGGAGAGAGAAAAACAAAAATTATATAGGTACCCCACCGGAATTGTCTGTGTACACAGGCAATTCATTTGAAAGAGATATGACTTTCTGTCCAAATCTCTATGTACACAGACAGTGTACAGATTGGGATACAAATTGGGGTACTCAATCAGGACTCAAAGAAAAAATACTTTTTTACGAACTATTTTTGTTGTTGGAATCTCCCACCCAGACCACTGGAGGCTCCCCATGATCCGACAGGATGATAGAGTAGTAAGTCATGTCCAATGGTGGTAGGTTTTATACCTGTGTGTATCAGAAGTCTAGTCCAGCACGTAGGAGCGGTAATCTTCACACGGCCGCTACGGATTTTGAACCTTGGTTATTGTTCCAATTTTTTCATCATTCAACCAACTGAACTATTTTGGTGTACACACTTTTAGGCATGTTTGTGTACACTTTTTTTTGTCTGTTTAAAAAAAGTCTACATGGACATGTACAAAAGTGTGTACACCAAACTCCACTCAAAGGAAAGGGAGTCGTACTTCCGCCAATGCTCAAATTCAGATTCCTTTTCTCCTACACCGGCAGATTTAATGACAGAATATGTGGGTGTTTGGATCTGATTCTTAAAATTGCTTTTGTTCCTTCACATTGAAGGAGCAGAAGCAGAAGTTAAAATGTTTGAGTGAAATGCAAAAGTACTTTTGGTGCTCTAATTTACTTCTAGAATGAGTTTTTTAGAAGTTGGGAGAGATCACGGTTCCAAACACCCCCTTTGTCCCAGAGTCGCTTATCTCCCATTGTCCCCTCCCGCATGCACCCTGCAATTTGCCTCTCACCAATTTGTAAGCAAACCAAACGAGAGTTCATTCCTAAGTTTTTTCTTGTAATTTCATACTTCTTTCGTTCTTTAAAACTTTATCAAGTTTGACTGACACAGAAATAATAAAGTAACAAAAGTTGTGTGGTTGAAGTTTGTATAGAGGAGAGAGAAATAACATAAACCACAAATTAGCTGATTAAAAGGGAAAGTAACAAAATTATCAGCACATTCCAAAAAAAAGATAACAAAGTTTTATGGGACAAAAGGAATATACTATAATAAATACTTCGTATAATAACGTTATAATAAATATTTGTTCCATCAAAAAATCATACTTCCTTTATCCCTTAAAACTTTATCAAGTTTGATCGGCATTGGGATTAATAAAGTAAAAATTGTGTGGTTGAGGTTTGTGCAGATGAAGGAGAATTAATTGAAATCACAAATTTAGAGGGACAACAAAAATAAAGTTGACAAAGTTTTAAGGGTTGGGGAAGTATATCCTTTGATGTAATTTCATATTATCCGAGCATTTTTCAGCTCTTTTTGCTAAACAAGTCTACTCAATTCAGCTAGCAATTCATATTCACCACTTCAAAATTCAGCTCCGGCCTATAGTCTCTGACTCTCTTATTCAGACAATAGCTTATAATTCAAACATTAGTCTCCAGTTTTAACTCGTTGTGCCAAACATAGTCTAAGTCTAGTAGTAATGTGCAGTATTTACCGCATCCTTACTTTCAATATAATTGCACTACTAGGCATTAACATGACTTATTGTCACAATATATTTCAATCATAGCGGTAACGATTTTAATTTTGAGAAAAAGAAAACATAGTAGTCATGTTTTGGACTTCCAAAACATGTTTACTCCTATTTGAGACAATTTATCTTCAAATACATATAGAACATATATATCTATTAATCGAGACTAGTTCAGACAAAATCATAATAGACTTACAAAAAAGATTAAATCAGAGGACTACACACTCCCATTAAAAACCTCCCCCTCTCACAGTCATTATACGCCTTGGTTTTCTTCTTCTGGATTTCTATTTGTACTCCAATTAAATAGAATTCCACTTCTAGATTATTTTCATCATCATTTAAATTTGAAAAATGACATCATCTTTGTTTTCTATTGAACACTATTTTAAAGTAATGTCACTTTTATGTCATTACATTTATGAAGATGTAAGTGCATTTTTTATTCGCTTACCATATTTTTAAATTTACAAATGCCATATTTTTTGAAATATTCTTCTAAACCTATTATAGTATCTGCTCTTGTTAATGTCAACATCATTGATTGGAATGAGACTCGAACGTGTGACCTCCTCTTTGAAAGATCGGCAGTGATGTCATCAGACTACAAGATACTTGGCTTACAAATGGCATTTTATATGAAAGCGTCATGTTTTTATGACATTTTTATACGAAAATGCCATAACACTTCGTTTTATATATATAAAAAGGTCATAATATGTCATTTTATAAAAATGCCATTTTCTAAATGACGTGTTCTAAGATTTTGAAAAATGATTTGCAAAAAAAAAAACAGATTTTGAAAAATGACATTTTTTAGTACTGTAAAGTCATGTTTTTATACGAAATTGTTATTACATAATATGTCATTTTTAAAAATGTTGATCTCTCTTGAAGGGGAGATGACCGTGGGGGAGGAGATGGCGGAAGTGTAAGATAGTGTGGCTTCACTCATGTGGGGTGTCTACAGTCTTGTTTGAAAGTGCCGACATCAATTTTGTAGGAGGGTGGCGGCGGCATCGACCGTGGTCGGTGTCTTGCTGGAGGGCGGTGGGCGGAGGTGGTGGTCTCACTGGAGGGTGACGGCAACGGTATAGCTAAACGGTGGGGGTTGAGCATTAAAGCTCCACATGAGTCAAAATACACATTACTTATGTTCTAAAAACTATGGAAGGTGGAATATTGTTCTTTCTAATTCACATTCATTCAAACAATAGTCCAGTTGAAACAATGTGTTTTTATTTTGACTTTTATGTTGCTTTTAGACTGTAGAAGTGTTTTCTTCTAGGTATATAAATAGAAAGATACTCTGTATATGTAACACCCACTGTTCTAAAAATCGGCCTAAGCAGACCGATTAATCGGTCTAGGCGGCCCTAACTGTAGAGGCCTAGTCGGTCTTGTCGATCAAAAAATCGGCCTAGTCGGCCAAAAAAAATTGGCCTAGTCAGCCGCCTAGGCGCCCCTCAACCGTCCGACTAGCGCCTAGCGACTTTTAGAACAATGGTAACACCCCACCCTGTAGGGCCCGATATAGTAACCCCGGAATCCCATTCAGACCTCTAGTACTCTCGTTACAAACAAACACAAACCTTGTTCGTATGAGTAATACTATTAATCCCTTTAAATTAATTATAATCAACCACAATTTAGGAACGCGTCATCCTCATTGTACCCATAAACCAATCTCAATTAACTCTCTGAAATCTTAGTCCTCCCCTGCTAAGTTCCTGCCCGATATACAACGAATCATCACACTGTCACAGGGTTGCTCTGATACCACTTGTAACACCCCGCCATGTAGGGCCCGAGGTAATTACTCCAGAATGCCTTCTAGACCTCTAGTATTGCACTCACAAACCAACGCAAACCTTTATCGTGCACTTTGTCCTTACTCTTGCGCACCTCGAGAAACTTCTCAAAGGGTCATCCATCCTAAGACTACTCTCGTGCTAGCACATTTAACTTGGAGTTCTTAGCCAATGAGCTCCCTTAAAAGGAGATACACCTTATTGGTATGAGTAGTACTATTAATCCCTTTAAATTAATCTCAGGTATTACAGTATAAGAGAAAAATGGGAAAACAAATAATAAAAATATAAGGATAACACGTTCAGTTGATTAAGAATATCAAGAAGATTAATGAAAAACAATGAGCCCTGTCAATATCAAGTAGATGATAATCAAGCATGTATATGTGCATATATGTGCAGTGTCATATTCTTAGAATAGATAGATATTGGTGTTGGTTAAAACCTCCTATCATATCTATTGTATACATATTTTTCACATACCAAAGTAGTGAACCAACAATGAGAAAAACTTTAATTTGTACCAATGAATGAATCAGTCAGTTGCTTCTTTGGTTGAACTACAAGTACTTATAAGATTCTTCAAATAGCTTAACTTTATGTTTTGAATTTCATTCCTGCATCCAAGTATTAATTTTAGATTCAGCAAGTAAATGTGCTTTATCACCAACAGTTTGAAAAAATATTAAAACTAACTGCAAGTTGTTGTATTTCATTCATAGAGAAAAGGGTCACATAAGCCCTTGTACTATTGCAAAAACATCACTTAAACCCCTCTACTAAATAAAACATCACATAAACATATCAACTCTTAAAAGAGAGTCACATTAGCCAAACTACCGGAAATTCATTCTTTTCAACCGGTCACTCGGTCAATTGATATCCTTTTCTTTTTCTTTATTTTTCCGTCTACTTTTGGTTACGTTCTCTTTCTTCCTTTCATTTCTCCAGCTCTCTCTTCGATCTTCTTCCACCTTCCTCATTCTTTTCATTTTTTTCTTTTTCTTATTCTTTCTTAACTTTTTCTTTCTTCTTTTTTTACCACCTCATAGACAACGAAGAGAGGTGGTCTACAAATCCTAATCTAGATCCAGTAAGCTGAAATTAAAGTTACATCCTTCATGCGTGCACGTCTTATACGGACGGGTACGTATTATAGCGAGTGTTTAAATAGCCGTCCGCTACTGCTATATAGTGGTCGCGGTAGGCACCGCTACCGCTACGGGCCGTTATCATGGTGTGATTTTCGAATCACGGGATAATTATGCTATGCCGCCCGCTACAGGCTGCTACCGCCACTTCCAGCAGTACACCACGAATTGGTTGATGTGAGAAAATACATTAATGGTGATGCATGGACTACAGGTCGCTACCGGCACTTGCGGGAGTACATCACAAACTTCCGGAGTGAAACTCTTAATTAAATATACATGTATCCACATACATTATGGTAGCAAATATTACTCCCTCCGGTTTTTAATAAACTTCACACTTTCCTTTTTGGGACGGTCTAAAATAAACTTCACACTTCCTTATTTCCTTTTTTGGCAAAGAAATCTACATCAAAACAGTACCAAACAGTGCCAAACAGTGTCTCAACAGTGCCAAA